TTTTGGCTGGCATGATTGATGATGGGAGGGACTCTTTGTTTCGGTTGTAAATAAGGGGTGTAAACGTAATGTTGTTACCTATAATTCTTTGATAAATGGGTACTGCAAAAATCGGAACGTAGATGAAGCTATGCGCCTTTGAAGGGAAATGCGTGATGAAGGGATTAGACCAATAATTATCAAATACAATACTTTGCAGGTAAGGTTTGAAATGCTCTGAAGCTGCGACTTCATGACCTGGTACCTAATGTGACGACATATAATGTTTATCTGGATGGGCTTTGCAAGAACAATTGTTTTTCGGTGGCAGTGGGCCTGTTTCATAGTTTAGAAAATTGTAAGTTTGAATCAAGCATTGAAATCCTTAACTGCCTCATTAATTGCATGCAAAATAGGGAAGCTTGCAACTGCTTGGGACCTATTTTACAGAATGCCTAATAAAGTTTTAAAGCCTGCTGTTGTAACATACGCTATCATGATACATGGACTTTGTACAGAAGGCCAAATGGAAAGGGCCAAGGACCTGTTAGTGGAGTTGGAGGACAAAAGTTGTACTCCAAATGTGGTCAGGTCACCTTTAATACACTCATGCTGGTTTCTTCCAAAATAATGAGACATGAAAGGTAGCCGAATTTCTTCATAAGATGAAAGCAAGAAACCTGTCACCAGATGCATCCACAGTCTTAAAAGTGATGGACTTACTCCCAAAGGATGAAAACTACGATGAATGTGTAAAATTGCTTCCTTCATTTACTACTCAAGAGCAAATACAGAAGTTGACATGATTAATGCTAGTTGTCATTTGGCTGAAGAAAACTTTAGTAGACTTACAGAACCATGGCCTGCTGCTGTCGTTCCATCTGATTGAATTATTTGTGAAAGCTCCCATGATGGAGTAAATTTGGTGAAGTTTATCAGAGAGGAAGTTGAACTATTGAGGTGCGGCTTCAAGTTCTGATTTATATCATGGCTGGCACTGAATCCCTTGAACTGAGATGTTTAATCATGACAGAAGTTGAAGCTTGGACATGCACAACTGGTATTTCTTCTTTACGCTACAAGTTTTGAGATGGAGTAAGTATTATGCTAGTTTGAGGTAGGTCACAGACCTTTCAAGCTTGGGGATTTTGTAATCATCTATAATGCTGCTGGAAAGCAATTTTCTTACTATCTTACCAAAAATTATCGCTTGACAACATGAACAGATGTATGGAGATGCTAACAACCACTGTACCTCTTATGCCAGGTGACATCAACTATGTCAGTGAATATAAGTGCATCTTGATGAGAATTTTTGGAGCATGCAGACAGAGCGCACTGAAAACACCAAGGAGTAAAAAACGTTGCTTTTGAAGGATGCATTTTAATCACATGGAATTATTAAGTGATTTATTGATCGTTGGATTATTGGGATGTTGATTACCAATTTTGCAGCTGATTCTTGAATTGCATTTTTTACACTACTCTGGCTAGTTGTCAAAATCACACATGATACTTCTATAAGACAGTGATTTCTTCATGCGAAAGGTTATTGTTAGATTTTACTTTTAGACGGTGTTGGCTCTGATATGTCAAATTCATGAAGAAATTCAAGAGAAAATTTTCTAAAAGTTATCGGAGCACCAATTGATGTTTTGGTCTGGTTGAAGCTGGTAACAGGGAGCGGTAACAGAGAATGAACACACCTACATGTCACACCATTGGATAATGCAACTCTCTATATAGTCATTGGATTTTGTTTGGTTCCAAGGAGATATCGTTTGGATTTAGCTTACGATCCTATGTGAAGCTACAATGCTATATTGGATAGGAGTAAGAGAGATCCTTTTCATACAAGGACTTGAGGAGAGCACTATTAGTAACGTGGAGTAAGTTTTTGGACCATGGGAGGATGATATCATATTATAAGGTCATGTTAGGCAACTCATCATACATCAAACGGGGGATGTTTTGAAGGAGCACGATAATCAAACTGGCTTCAAGTTAAGCTAAAGTCGACCTTTGATGGTGTCCCTTCTTCTTTTTCTTGTGACGCATGATTCCCAGTTAACCACACTTTTTTGGATTAGGTATCACGATTTTGTTGGTCAGTCTCTTATTTGAATATTATTCAGTGCACTGTATGGTGATTGCTGAGCGGAGAAATATCAACTCATGTTACAGGAGAGGGGGAACTGTTAGAAAATTATTCAGTTTTGGTTTCGAGAGTGACAACAGTGGAAGAGTAATGAAGTGAAACTTGGAACTTATTCCAACCCGAAGCAGTTGGCTCCTATTGACAACGAACAGGAGATGGATTGGTGGTGTTCACGCATGCTAAGCTAACATGAGAAGGTAACAGTTTTCTTTCAAGTTATTCTGATGGGATTAAAATTGGCAACACAAGGGGACATGCAAAATCTTCAAAAGAATCTGAGCCTAACCTGCTTGCCTAACTGCCTATATCCCTCTCTTCCTTTCCCACTCTCCTTCCGATGAATTTTGGATCCAAATCATTTAAAGACCTTTTCTTGTCATTTCAGGAATTAAAGTTGTTCTGACAATGATCACAAAAGTAGCATTTAATAATCAGATGCCTCTATACATGACCCACATCCTCGAATATTTTTCCCCACTACTTTCCCTCACGGTTGTGCTTGGCATGCTAGCTGAATGCAGTACTCTCTTATCTAAGTTTATGCTTGGATGATCAGCCGAGAAAAAACCATGAATCCTTGAGTAAGCTTTTGGAATACGAATTAGATCACAAGAATTCTTGCTGTTACTATGGGAGGAATTTACTATTGTACTGACCAGAGAGGAATGGTAATTGCCTTTACATTTGGCCTCTCTATCTGCTTCGTGAAGTTGCATGTTCACTACGTACGTGACAAAATCAATCCCGAGGGCCCTGTAGATTTTTTTTCCATGATTGCCTGTTGCCAACCTTTTGCCGAAATTATTCAAGGCCTTATAAGACAACTCTCTCTCTCTCTCTCTCTTATATATATATATATGGAAGCCAAGATGTTGGATATGCACCTTAGTGCTTACGAGGTTAGAGTTGCATTAATCATGGAATGATAATTCTGTTTTATGGTAGATTTTGTTCTAAATGAAGATGATTTGGGGAAGCCTAGCTCACCAGTAGGTCTCCTAGATATGTGATTGTGTTGCCCTAAAGTCTCTCTTTTTCCATGAAAAAAAAAATAAAGCCACTACTTTGAATGGTTTTTTGTGTTAGTTGTTGAATGCTTTTTGAAGCATCGTTGCACCCAAGTCAAAAAAGGAGTAGGAGAATTGTAACTCCGTTTATCACTTTAAGATGCAAGTCACGTGACATTGCGTCTTTGCCTAAACTAAGTCACATTTAAAGATTTTGTCCATATCCATGTATAATGCTAAAATCATAAGAATTAATAATTACTCCATTGATTGAACACTTGATGTAGTGTTTTTTTTTTTAATCTTTAAATATATTAAAATAATTTTTTTAATATCAGTTTATTAGAGTGATACAAAAATAAAAAAATAATTCACAAATAATTGAAAATAATTGAATGGTAATATCAAACACCATGTTAACAGAAGAGTTAAGTTATTAGCTAATTATATTATTTTAATTATAATATCAAACACCATGTTAATGAAGTTTCAGACGAGTGAAAATATGATAACTTTTTTAAATTGGAAACTTTAGATCAAGATTTCTTATCATATGTTTGCTTCTTTTTTTTTTTTTATTTAAGCTAATTAAAAGTTCATATTGCAAGCTTAATTAATTTGATTTAAGAGGTGTGTTAAATATTTTTTTTAATTAAGAAGTAAAACTAGAAAAAGGGATAAGGAATTTATATCCATGTTAGATCAATATTCATCAAATCCCCTTAAATTAATTAAAAGTTTACGATAATATAATAGTGAAATCATGTATCATTTACATCCTTAATTCATTTCAACCAATACCAATGGATGAATATGGATGTTTCAACTTACATCAAAAGCTTGTGAGTTTTAAGATTTATTATGAAATATAGTTTGAATTGTTAATCATTATATTTATGTTATGTAATAAAATCAAAACATAAAATAAAATAACAAATCATTTTTAAAAAAGAAATTAAGATCAAAAGCTCCATAATTAAGATACAAAAATCTTAGTTGAGAAAAAAATAAACATCATATATTTATTAAATATAAATCATTGTATTTTTTCTGTTCGCTTGTCTAATTAGTTAATGACTTCAAGATGCAAAATATATTCTCAAATTTCTCTCCATCCCTGCCATGTACTGTTTAAAAGATGGGGTGCTTTGCCATGATCATTCCTCAACTCCAACCCATCTCGGCCATCCTATGGGACATGCGAAGAAATTCCAGGAAAAAATTAGGGGAGAAAAGAGAGAAATTTTTGTTCTTTGGTAACCCTAACCCTAGACTTTAAGCAAGTATGAGCCCTTCAATATTGATGCATGGAAAAGGAGTTGCATCACAACTTTGGTACGTAGCGCATAAGCAGAGCAGATTCTCTACAGGTTATCATCAACTAATTGGACTTTTTTCCCCTTCATCTCCCTTTTCCATCCCTTTCACATCGCACCAAGCAGTTCTTCGATTCGATTGCTTCGAATCTTTCAATTTCAATTTTTTTCTGCTTTCAACATGAGAATCCGAACAAAAGATGTTACTTCTACACTAACAAACATGATATTATCGTCACATCGATCATGCTTCGTCTTCCTTTTCTCCATAAAGAAGGGCCTCAAATTAACATGTGATCTTTAGAAGAGGATAAGAGCATGGATACCAAGCTGAACTCATTAATCATCAATATCGTGATATCATGTAATTAATTAACAGTACAATACAACTGCTTGTTCAACTTCCCCCATTAAATTTTAGACTTTGTACATGATTTGATTCTTTTGCCTTACAATCCTCTTGATTAAAGCGCCCATGGAGTTAGGGATAGTATAATCTCATCCCAACTCGATGAATATTGTCCGAACCGATCCGATCCATAATGAATATTGTCAGATCCGAATATTGATATTGATAGATAAGGTATGAATTCACAAATTTTGTACACATTGAAATGGATATCCATTGCCAGTCCTTACATGAAGCTGCAGTTTCTCTTCACAAACACACATACATATATACATGTACATGACAACAATATCAAACAAATCTGACCCACCAGAAATAATGAACTTCACATGTTCATCTGATCCCAGTTATGGTAGTTCTAATTTTATTTATTAAAGTTGACCCACAAGAGTTAATACATCTGACCCACCTGGTACAAATGAGAAGTTAATGGTGATGCCGCTGAAGATCATATGAAACTAAACGAGGCAAAAACACTTAAAAAGCCAGGCTTGGAAACTAAATTTGGATACTTTCTTCTTCTTGCTCCCCTGGTTCCTGAAATATGTATCGCATACACAGAGAAAATATTCTCTAAGATACAATCATGTTGAGACATGAACAAGAGATTGGAACTGAAATCATACCATGTACTGCCGCCTCTGGTTGCTGAATTAGCATTGAGGTGTGTTCTCTTCATCGGAGGAAAAGAAAATCACAAAAATAGTTCGTGCAAAATTTAATACTATTATCGAGACAATAAAACACCAACCTTAATTTACTTGCAGGATCCCTTATCTGAATCTAACCGAGGAATACCATGGAGAAGATTGAATTAAGCCCTGTTACATAAAATATATGCTCAGTCAAGGAAAAACATGATAAGAAATTAATTACAATGGACCAGAGAGATCAAAGACAGGAAGACCATCATGCGTGCTTTGCATAAAAAACCTCAATCCATTCTGTGAACGCTAATCAAACATTGTTGGGGGGAATGAAGCCTGGTCCGAAATCATTCAATATTACGTTTATGTTTGAGCTTCTCATGAATGACATCGAACCAGACGACAATCCCCTCAACAGTTAATACGCGAGAGGGAGAGATGGGGGGAGGGGGAGACAGACAAATCATGGAGTTTCTGATTTGGCCATGCATTATTTTTTTTCATGGGGTCCTTATATACGTAGGGATGATAAAGATATTCGAGCTTGAGTCACATGACATGGAGTTGGAATCCACTTTCTACACTACCCCTAACCAAGCTTTTCACACATAGGTAAACGTGTTTTTGGGCAGAAATGAGTTAACTTTAACTACTCTTTTTTCTCAAACATGATAATTAATATTTGTTTGTCTTAACAATAAGTGTGTGCATTCGATGATGAGGTCAACCCAAACAGGCTCTTTTAGGGTTCCGACACCAATATGGGGTCTGTGTATCAACAGCTTCCTTTCAAACCGATTCAGTAAAAAAAGCGTTTTGACCGTCTAGCTTATCCCATTAAAAACATCGGATCATCAAGGATTGTCAGCTTAGGAAAATCCAACAACCAAATTGATGTCATTTTTCCAATGGTACTTACTGTACACTGATTTCTCGAAATAGATTTGGTCATAGTCCAGAACATTTAATACACGCAAAAGACAGTGGCTTTAATTTTAACCAGAGTCACCTGCAGCCGAAAAAAGAAAAAAAAAACCGAGGCACCATAGAATGACTCGTGTTGTTTAATGTTCATTAATACGCAAGGGACATTTTTCTTATATAATCGAACTGTACTTCGCAGCCATGTACCTGCTAAAACAAAACATGATTTTAGTTAGATATCCGTGATTAATGGAGCTGATTAGTCTTAGAGAGTCTTGCTTGCAAGACCTTGACCCTTGTGTTCATGTCAAGTAAGGAACATATCTTTTGCTTGCCACTAAGGTAAAGGGAAGGTGGGAGGTGGAGAACTTCATAAATGATGGCATATATGTGGAGCTTGTACTATGCCAAGCTTAAGTCCCAAGTCCAACACTGATTGGCCTGAACTGCTTAAAGACGTAATCTTTGGTCAACAACAAAAAAAAAAAGAAGAAGAAGAAAGAGAAATGGACAAAAGAAAGTGGAAAACCAAGTCACTAACTTGTTAAATCACAGTACTCAGTCACTAATTAATTTGTTGCATAAAGGGCTATATATGCATATGACTAATTAATCCATGAATATGTAAAAGACTAGCAGGTTTGAAATTCTCCCAAGGTAGCTGCAGTTAAAGTTGCTTTTTATAAAGTGACGAGTAAAGATAAAACCCAATGTTTCAACCGACAGCTTGAATTTTGTTGCCAAATAAAGAGTCTATTTAGCATATTACTTTGAATAGTTGAACTTTCAGAGCATATATTTCATCATCAGTTACCTACGATGTACGCAAAGGAATCAAAGAATGATTCTTAGAACATGAAGTATTGACTGGTAAACTTTAACTTGATTCCACAAAAAAAAAAAAAAAAAGACCTGAGCTTCATCGATCGGTAATTGATTAAGTTAGACTTTAATTTGCAGAAATTAATTTGTTTGTCTTCTCTAAAATATTGTATTTGGGAAGCCTGAGGTGATTTAATTACTTCTGAAGCAGAAAAGAGGCGCCAAACTATAACCATGTTATCATAACACTTCTTTTTATGACAAGGGAACTGAGCAGCATCCTGTACATGTGATCAAAGTGTGTAATCTCAGTTTGAGAAAAGAAAATGTTGGAGAAGCCCCCTCAGTTCTTGTTTCTGGGACTAGATATCAAAGCAATTCTTTTCAGCAAATCTTCCTTTATTCCAAAAGCTGAATTCATTCAATCAACCTTATGTTGCTGGCGCCAGACTGTGAAAGGCTACTGCTAATATTTAAAGCAGACAATGGCAAGCCAAGTTGTGTCCACACACAAAATGCATTGGTGATATGCTCCTAGTTTCTTTTAATTGTCATCGATATTTTGCGGTTCATCACAATTTGGTAGATAACATGTCCTGTTCACAGTTAAAGCATATAAAAATCCCTGTACCTCATGTTCGATCCCACTTTTAAGTAGCTAGAGATCATGTAGCAAAGCCGGACAAGTTAGTAACAATTATGAGATCCAGCTAAGGTACCCTACCCTATATTACTGTGGACAGTAGTCGTCCTTGCGTCGTTCCATCATAGAATTCAGCATCAATAAGAGACGCCTCCTACATACAGCCAAACGATTCTTGGCCCATAAATCTATCTATCATGAAGAAAAACATACAGTCTTAGATGCAAAATGTGGAGTCAAAATAGGCCTTTTGGGGCCCCTTATTGTTGGAAATGATGACAGAATAATAAAGTTGATAATAATGTGCCTTTAAACGACAATTGATTGATAAATCTATCACCCTAAAACACATTAGAGTGAGAGCTAATAAAAAAGCAAAGGGAATCATTGGCTCTGTACAGATTAATTACATAAAAAAGTCAAAGCCTCTTTTTGTAATAGACTTCTGTTACTACATTTCAAGCATTCATGTTCTCAGAAGGTAAGGTGTCATGTATTTCTTGTTCACAATTGAGAACATTTCTACAATGGTGCCTGTTGAAAGCGGGGTAGGCATCTTTCCTTTTTATTCGGTTGGGTGTCGCTTGCTTAGGCCAGCAATAATTATTATGAAATAATTCACGAGAAGTACAACTAATGAGTAGGTCCCTCTGCACAGATAGGTTTCTTGTTGCTTACAAAGATCTGGATTTAGCTTAAAACAGCCAGTTGGTGTAAATTGCTGTTTAGAGTGCGTTGTTTCAACAAGGAACTCCTTGGAGTAGAGGTTATGATTTTGTTGTTGATGTGCTTTTCAAGCCATGAGCTGCTGGTTTTGATAGAACTTTGAGAAATGAGCAAACCATCTCTAACAAAGTGTGGAATACAGTACAGGTTCGAAACAAAACAACAGACAGCGAGCAGAGTAGCCCAAGACAGCATAAAAGGCCAGGTCTTCCTCTTCAATTGCTTTCTTTAGAAAGCCCAACTCCCAAGTCAAGACATCTGCCTGTCTTTTTGTTTGTTAAGCTTGAATGTGATAGGAAATTCAACTTTAGCGACTAATACCCTGTCTAGTTTGTCAGCAAAACGTAATTTACGAGTTCAAAGCATTGAGTTCTGTAAAGCATGACGATTTGACCGTACACATGAGATATTATAGATACATGGCGTCATCTAGTACCGAAGCTGCTTTGAATATTTGCCACGGTTTCCATTTTCCAATTTGCCCAGCGGCAAGCGGCAGCAATATTTCATGCCATATTTATTGGATACGCCAATATGAACACATTCACACACAAACTTGACAATATCGTTTGAACAGTCAAATAATCTTGTGTTAGACTTCGAGCTTTTACTTTAATATTTTGTCTCAAACCGAGAGATAGGCAGTTTTTTAGTCGAGATTTGTCAGCAACATTGTAGTGCATGTTTTCTATTTGGGGTGCGGTCTCATGTTGTAAGCTTCGATCTCGTAATTAGATCCATAAGGAGGGGAAAATCACCCATCAAGAGAAAAGTCCAAGCACAGGCAGCTGGCATCAAAATGTAAGGATTACTAGTTAAAATTATGCCTGCAGGAGCTTGAGTTATTTGACTTGAATGTTACTTTACCAAGCTATGACTCTTAATTATGAAAATCGTGTGGTTATATATAAATATGGTGTCTACATGCTGGCTAGGAGGGTTCAAAAATGTCTGCGTTGCTTATGAATCCATGTGCTTTCACACTTCGTTTTTCCTGGTAAACAAAATATAAATTTTAATGGAGGTTGTGGTGGGTCTCAAATCTAAAATGTATATAAATAAAAATTTTTGGACGGTCAATCTAAATTATTTAAAAATAAAGTTGATGTATTAAATAATTAATTAATCTCTCGGTTCAAGTAATTTAATTTATTTTTTTAATTAATATATATGTGTCTTGACATGAAAAGCTCGGGTTATTGATATTAGCAGATGTTATATGCTTGGTACCTATAAAAAGTTTTTCTTTAATAAACATGGAGATTTTTTGATAATAAAGTTAGTAACTTTATAGAAAGAAAAAGTATAAAGGCAATTTAAAAAGATAGAATTTGAAAATGTATATACTGAAAATATTAAGAAAAATAAAGAGAATGCAACCTTTGAGTTTGAAAGATTCATGATATATTTATAACTCATGAATTTTGTTTTTTTATGGATATAAAAGGTTTAAATGTAATTCTAACATTGTGATATTTTAAATTATATTATAATCAAAATAATAAGTATAAGATAAGTGAAAAATATTGAAAAACTCACATAAAATCTCTAAAAAATCCTATCAAGTGTTGGGTTCGAATAAGGTAGTTGCACCCATTAAAAATAAAAAGAAGTTGAGATATGCTGTCTGGACCTAATATATTTGGCTAAGAATACACATCAAAGATAAAGAAAAATGATAGATACATGCCCAGCACCTTGCATGCCACGCAAGTTGGGCTGGGTTGCTAACATGCCGTGCATAAACAGATGACTATACTGGATGCATGTGCTCGAGATCTTACCCAAATTTATATTTTTTTGGGTTTCTCTAACTTTTTTAAATCAATTTTGGAATGGTTTTTAAGATTCAATAGGCTGTAAATAAAGTAAGGTGAACTTCGATTCTCTAGTGGGATAAAAAGATGAGACCAGGGCTTTCCTTTCGTCTCTCTGTGTCAATTGATTCCATTCTACCCGCAGCATCAATCAATTTGAAAAATAATTGTTTTTTTTAAAAAAAAAAACTAGAAAAAGTTGGTTAGTAACTCTCAATTCTCAAACCAAGAAAAAAAAATTATACATGAGTAACAAGAGATTATTACAAAACGAACGCAACGAGGTGGAAGTCTTCGGCAATATTGTAATTCTAATTAGTATCGTTCTTTGATTACATTAGGGGCCCAAAAAATCTAATTCACTGAATTCCAAATCCCATCCCATCAATTTGATTGGTGAAGGTGATGCAGCCATGTAGAAATGCAGAGCAGCAGCAGCATCATCATGGCGAAATTCCTTTTTAAATTGTGATTGACCCAAAAAAAAAACACAAAAAATGATATTTTCACTTTCCAAAACGGCTGAGTTTATATACTATGA